CCAACTCCCTTCCAGGATTAAGTTAAAGGTTCCCAACTCCAACCCTGTCTGGTCTCTGGACTGCCAAGTGTCAGAGCCCTCTGCCTCCAAGTGGAGATCACTTTTGTTGGTACTTACAGCTTCACCGTGACCTTCAACATCAAGCCAGCCAGGCGTTGTGCAGAAATTTTAGTCCTCTGATGTTTTTCTGCACTCGTCCTCAGCTTTGGAATGAGAGGCGAAGTCCTCCTGCCTCTGTCGCTGGGATCAGAGGCGGCAGAGCTCCATTCGTGATCATGCTTCCAAGCACTTAAAGAAGAGCAAGGTAAAACCCCAAACTCAAGCCTCCCACCCCTACCTCCCAACCACTAGCCCACTCCCCAAAGGAACTACCATCAATTGTGCCCTGTGTATCCTTCAAGGAAAAAAAAAGAAAAAATATGCTATTACCACCAAATAAATACATATACAAATATATACATGCATAGAAGTATGGAGTCATGTCCTTTTTATTTATATCAAATGTATTCTTATATATTTTAGATTTGAAAGCTGTGGGGTTAATCATTATCCTTAGCCCCAATTCCTGGTATTTTTCTTTTTTCTATTTAAATGTCTACATAGTATTTCACTGTATAGTTGTATTATTATGTTTATTTAACTAGTCCACCATACAGTTATTTAGTTTTAGTTGTTTGTTCTTACAAACAATGCTATAATGAATATTCTTATGTATATGTCTTAGTGTACTTTTGTGAATATATCTATAAATTCTCAGTAATGGAATTGCTGGGTCAAGAGAGATATACACTTACAATTCTGATAAGTATTGTAAAATTGCCCTTTAAAAAGTAGATCGTTACCATTTCCGGCAACAGTGTTTGAGAGTGGCAGGTGGCCCACAGCGTGGCCAGTACTGGATCTTGACAAGCTCTGAATTTTCACTTACCTGCTCACCTCCATTGGTATCTCACCTCCATTTCTATAATTATCAGCGAGGTTAACCATGTTTTCATGTGTTTATTTTTCTGTAAACCCCATGTTCATATCCTTTCTTCATTTTCATCGTGAATTATTCAATGTGTTGTGCTCTGTATTGCTAATATTTTCCCCTAGGTTTTTTTGTTTATGTGTGTGTGTGTGTTTGTTTTTCTCTTTTGATCTTATTTTAATGAGCTAATGTTCAGAAATTCTTGACTGTAAGCTTTGTATACTGCTTAATAATTCATTCCCTGGCCCAAAATTGTATGCATTTTTATCAATTTTGAAGTGCTAGACAATGCCCCCAGGCTGTCCAAAGATTCAGCCTAGTGTCTACAGCCCCCAGCCCCCTTGAGACATTGCAGCTTTAACAAAATGCTGACAGTTGATCTTCCTTTTGACTGTCCCAGCCAGAATGTTCCCCAACTCACGAATTCAGCCAAAATATACATGAGGTTAATCCACTTGATTTTTTTTCCCTGTTTCCAAGCTCTTGCCTGGGTTATTGGTTATTTTTTAACACCCTTTACACAACCTAGATTTAAAAAGACATCCCTTAAATTCAGATATCCAGGTCTAATTAAAATCCTGCTCTTAAAACACAAGAATCTATTCGGATGCTTTTCCTGAAGCTTTTGGAGAAAATGACTTCCTCAGTTGTCGTTGGCCTTCTGTGTGCAGCACCTTCTGCTGAAGCACTCCTAAGAGTGGCTGGATCTTTTTTTTTTTTTTTTAAGACTAGTCAAATCGTATGAGGAGGGAGGAAAGTAGAAAAAAGGAGTCAATCTGTAACTGACTGTAACAACCCATGTGGAGAAACCTCCTGCTTCGGAGGGTGGCTGGATCTTTCTGTCGGCCCTGTCTGATGTGAGCACTGACCAGCGTCTGTGCCCTGTCGTTGTAAACACCACGGGACTGGAATCGTGTCTTAACCACACTAATCCTCTGGCCTGACATTTGGACCTTACGGGGTGACACAGAAATCCAGGTGGGGCAAGAGTAGAGGAGGGACAAAGGAAACAGCATGCCATTCTTTCAGGAGTCAGGTATGGCATGAAGACCACAGATCAAAGAACTAGTTCGGGATCTGGCTTGGTGAGTTCCAGGGAATCTGTGCAGTGCAACAGAGGACAAACTACATGCTCATTCCAGGCTCTGCCCGACTCTAAAGCCAAATGAAACAGGAAGCAGCTGCTCCCAGGACAGAAAGCAAATAAATTAACTTGATGTTTTAAAAAATTCTTCATACTGGACACCGTTTTAATTCAGGGTAAATCTTGGGTTGATTCTATCGATAGCTAAGTGTGCCAGGGAGGGGACATTGAAGAGGAAATGATAATAGTAGAAAAAGCTTTGGTGGAAGGTGCTAGTGGACAGACCTGGGGTGGGGGGACCCAGGATGGAAGGGGTTGCTATAAATGCCTCCCTGTGCAAGACAATAGGGGAATCTAAGGGGGACAGGGGACAAGGACACAAGGGGAAGAAAGCTACCTATACCGAAAGAGGGGGGAATGTTTCCTTAGGGAATTCTCCATCAAAGTGAGGACTACAAGAAGCACACTCAGAGAGACGGGCACACGAGCTCCAATGCATAAGAGAAACATGTGCCCAAGATTTGCACTCACCATTCAATTGGTACTAATCGATCAAAACTTGTGCACCTGCATTTCTTTTAAAGCCACAAAGCATTAGAGGAAGAACTGGGATTGGCCCCTCTCTCCTGAGGATCTGAGATCTCCTGAGGGTCTCAGCCTTTGGCCTGGCTGTCAGCTCTCCCTGCATGAAGGCCCCCCTGTTCACAAGGTGCCTCTCCTTTCTCTTTCTTCAGAAAGGAGGCCTAGAGTTTTGCCGCTACTCAGGTCTGTTCCCAGGGTCCCCACCCATGCCCCGGCAGAGGCCCGCACTCTCCTTGCACATTCCTGTGTTCACTTGGAACAATCTAGCACATGCCCTTTGTATAATAATTTCTCGACATCCAACTTTGTTTTTCTCTATTCATGATTAAAGCCTAATTCATCTCGTGTTTCACTGGAGGTTTCAGAGCAAATGACAAGTAAGTATTCTCAGCTTTGCTACACAGAGAGGAAACCAACGTCTCAGAAATATGAAGTATCTTGTCCAAAGGCAAAAATCCAAATAGCAAAGAATCTTAAATGAGACCCAGGATTCCAAGTTCCAAATTTCAGCATCCCTCAGGATAAAAGTCATGCTTCAGTGGAACTGATCACTTTCTTTTTTTTTTTCCATTTCAAAAAGGCTGCAGCTCAGGGCAGGAAGATGAGAAAACCCTGGAACTAATCACCCACAGCAGGTAGAGCCTGTTTCAGCTGCAGCCAGTGGAAAGTTACCTAAGTTTGTTTTTCACTGTTGGAGAAGCCCAATTCTGCAGGCTGTATCTGAATGTCAACATTAGGGAATTAGACATTCCATGCTGACCTTCAACCTCGCAGGATTCAAATCTGTCTTCTCCTTAAACCAGGGCCTTCCCCCTCTTCCTTTCTTAAAAAATAAAAAGTCAGTTTTAAAGGCAGCTGAAGTAGAGTTCTGCGATTTGCCACAAGAAGTTTGAAAGATTCATTCCGTCTCTGAAATTCAGAATCCTTGCAAATACCATGGCTGGGATTTTGTCCTGCCCTGTTAGGGGATGTCTACATGGGGAACCCTGAGGAATCTGTTTCACTTTAAAAGAGAAAAACCAGCAATGATTCTGAAAAGAAATAGGATTGCCGTAACCAAGAGAAGAAACTTTAAGAGTACAAAGCAACTTACCCCAGGCAGTGCCAACACCGCAGCACCTGTAATATCACCTTAACAAAAAAAGTCACATTGATGCCATATCTACTGACTAAAGTTGGAGGGTACAGGGCTTTGGTGATTTCCAGAAGGTTCTTAGGATGTTTTTCCATCTCAGGATGCATGTCTGCACTTTTACCATATGAGCATGTAGGTCAATTCCTCAGCCCTCATGGAAGACCCTGGACTTTCCCAGGAGCCGGGGTGCAGGATTTCCTCAGACAGTCAGAGGAAACCGGGGGAGAGCTTAGTCGCCCTCAGGAACTTAGGGAGCAGGAGCAGGACCAAACAGCAGTGGCAGCTCTTTGGGCTCACTTGTTGAGATCAGTTCATAGGCAAAGAAAAGAAAAGTCCACGGTATATTTTGCTTTTCATTTTCACCTGATAAGACTGATGACAACTAAGAGAAAGTCTGGGGTAGGATGACAAGACCTGCTAGTTAAGTGAAGGCTGCTGCCCATCTCCTCAGGCCACCAGCTCTGACTGAAACAACCAGACCTCACTTCAGATTGTTACTTGAGAGGGTAACAAACAGTTTCCTGTTAAAGCTTAAGAAAGCAAAATGACAACAGGGCCTGAGGAGGAAAAGAAAGGATCAGAGATATTAAAAATAATAGCCGACAACAGAATCCATTCGGAACCAGCGGCAGCCTCTAATGGCGGCTCTGCCTGTTGCGTATGTGTGTGTCTGTCCTCACTGCCAGATTGGGAGTGACAGAGATTACTCTGTTTTCTTTGCTCCCTATCCCGCTACCAAAGCTCAGCAGATAATCAGGTACTTAATAAATGATTGTTGGAGTGAACAGATGAATAGATTATAACTACGCCAGAAATGACCAGTTTGAGAGGAGAATGAGATTGGCTTCCAAACGTTGGTCAAGAGCTCAAAGTAGGACGCCCCAAGGATATATTTAACGTCATAGGTTCATATGACCCGATGACTCTTCTGGCTCTAGAACTCTGAGGAGGTGACAAGATAATAAACCGAGGCCTTCCGTGAGGAAAGAGTTAAACAAGTTTAAACGTGGGCTTCTGAGGGGAACATGTGTCCACAAGGGGCCTCCATGGCTGCCTGCGGCCGCGCACCCCCACACGGCAGAGGGGGGAGAGCTCCAGTGTGTTCGGCCAAAGGTGACGCTGACTTACTGGCCTAAGGTCGTGCCCTCCCTCCCCACCAAATCGATAATTTAATGTGACTTATCAGAAAGAGAAAGACTTGTTTACTTTTAAATCCTGGATTCCATAAAGGGAGAGGGGAAAGGCCTAAAAGCCCCAGAAGCTCAGGACGCGGGGCCGAGGCTGCCCGGCACAGCCGCAGAAACAGGAGAGCGGAAGGCGCCATCCCGCCAGCCGGGGAGGGGCCCTGGGCCCCGAGAGGACCACAGCCGACGGGGGTAAGTGCTGGTGACTCCCCTGAGTGGAGCAGGCTGTTCTTTGGGGTGGCCACTGACGAGAAATGGGGTGTGCGGCTCACTCTGGTTTGGAAAGAGACTCCACTCGGCGCCTGGGCAACAGGAAGTATTGAACACACCGTATTTGAATTTGTCTTCCATGACTACTCTGTTTCTTCAGGGAGCTTGAGGAAAACAGGAGACTTTCTCGAAGGTTCTTCTCACCCTTGTGGAGGGCAAGGAAGAGGCCAGGGAGGAGCTGAGGGCTCAGAGGCAGTGTGGACTTCGTTTCTGCCCTTGGAGCGGCTGTATATTCAGCCATTGCCTATTTTACTGTGGTCTGATTTAACAACAACAGACAAAATTCTGCCAGCATGGTAACTAAAATTAGGTTTATTTGACCAGGACTTCCTTCCCTGCAGGGCAAACACACGGGCAAAATGCACGAGGTTTTTGTTCTTATCCTTCTAAACTGCTGGCATTAGAGTTATTCCTTTCGAGTGTCTCTGCACGACTCACGTTGTTCCCTCAGCTGCACTAAAAATAGCTGGACACCTGCACAGAAGTGAAACTGGTCCTTAGGAATCCCCAAGCCTCAGCGATCTCTTTTTAAAAAGTCCAGTGAGGCTCCAACTTGGCTGAGAATTTGCCCAACAATTTCCTTTTCACGCTGGTTGGTGATAAACACAGATGATAAACGCATGGATAAGAAGCCTTCCACATTTTCCCTTCTAGATGGATTTCAATGAGAAAAGAAACGCTGCTGTGCTCCCCGTTGACAAGAACATTCTATTTTAAAATTTCCATGTGCTTTAAAATTGACAAGCCTCAGAAGTATAATACTGACTTCCTTTGTCATTTAGACTATAACGGCCTAAAAGAATCAAATTGATGCATTTAAACCTCTATTTGAAATGGCAGTAAATGTGGATTTGCAATAAAAAAAAAAAGCATCTCCATTTATCTTTTGCTTTTTAAGAAATCTTTTTTTTTTTCTGATACGGGTTAGGTTTGCAGCAAATTGACACATTTTGCAGTTTCAAAAGCATTCTTTTCTCAGCCCTGTTGAGTTGGCACTAGAATGTTCTTAGCCCCTGGGAACAAAATATTAAAGCAAAGACAAGCTGCTTATGCCCAGAGCTGACCTGAGAAAGAATAGGGAATGCACTGATATTCCTGGTACTTGCAAATCTAACACATCTTGCTGGGAGTTATAGAAGGGGCATATAGAATACTTACAGGGTGATGAATTTGCTGGAAGTCATGCTTTGTAAAGCCTTCCTCCTTAATACACTTTCTTTCCTACTTATGAAAAGAAATGTATGGCATTTAAAAGAGGATCAAACTAAGTCTAGCTTTTTTTTCATGCTCATGGGTTCAATGGGAAAACCACATTCTGAATTGATGGCAGCAGCTAGAAATGCTTAGAGATCCTGTCACAGTTGGGAAGGTGAGGCCAGGAAGACACTGCACAGAAATTTAGTTTTTGTTTTGTTTTGTTTTTTTAGAGACAGGGGTTTTGCTATGTTTCCCAGGCTGGCTTCAAACTCCTGAGCTCAAGGGATCCTCCTTCCTCACCCTCCCTAGTAACAGGGACTACGGGAGAAATTTAGTTTTAATAGACAACCATTTAGGAATGCCTAGTGCTCAACCTCCGGAAGTTAGGCATGACAACGACAGGTGGTGGAAGATTTGTGTGGGTGGGATCAGAGGCCTAGAGAAGCTAAACAGGATCCCTCAAGGCTGTTTCTAAGCTGTAGAAAATTGTGCTGGCATTTGGACAAGTCACCCTGACTAATATCCAACATCTTTGACTTAAACATTACTCGTTTCCCCGGGAAATAGCAGGTGTTATTTTACAGCCAGTGTATAAACTTTCTATTTGTTATTAACTGGTACTATTTAAATTCCATTGTTAAATTTGAAATACTAGAACATAAGACTTTAAATCTGCAGAATAAGAAATGACTGTGAATTTTCAAAATATCTAAAGGTAGATCCTGGCATTACCCACTTCTAATTATTTTTACTCATGATATATTATTGATGACATTGGGGGGGAAAAACCCCACCAAAATTCTGCTTGCTTGTTTAAACTGCTTTGTGAGTTCAGAGTTCAACCACTGCTGCAGAAACAATCAAAGAAGTAATAAATGATGATGGCTGGTTTAGCAACATTCATCATTTGCTAAGAAATGATCCTGAAGCCTATCTCTCAGCACAGTACTAACTTCTCACACTCGTGACAAACCATATTAGTAGGGTAGGTTCCAACCTCCAATTTTCAGAAGAGTGTTTTGCAAGAAGGAGTTTTTATTAGGAAATCTGGAAAAAAAAATGCTTAAAAATTTTAAAATTCTCCTTGTTTTTCTCACTACAAAAATACTACATGAATCATAGAAATGAATAAATGCAGAGACACAAAAGGAGAAAAAAAATGAAACCATAATTCCTCTACTCAGAGATAACCATGGTTAACATTTGATGTTCTTGCCCCAGGCAAAAGTGCATTTTTCACAGAAAAGGGCTCATACAGAGTATATTGTTTTGTAAACTACTTTTTCATTCAATAACATCTCTTGAATTTCTTTCCAAGTCTACAACCATTTTTCTACAGAATGGATTTAAATGACTATGGTGTATCATAAACGTATTAATCTTCCTCTATAGTTAGACATTTGGTTGTTTCCAATTTTGACCATTAACAATGCCACCATGAACAACATTATAGATAAATCTTTCTACAAATTTTTGACATTTTCCTTGAGATATATTTCTAGGCTATAGAAATAGAAGTTTGTTTGGGGGGAGGAATTTGGTAAGATTTACCTGTGATGCATTAATTTCTTCTGCTCTTTTCCCCTTCCCTGTGTCTTTTGCAGATTTTTCAAAGCCCGAAGCAAACAGAGCCCTCATGGAGAAGTGGAGGGTGTTCAGACACGGCTATGAGGCCCTGAGAAGTGAAATGAGCCCAAGCCCTTGCCCAGTACATTGGGCACATCCTTTGGGGCCCTTTAACAAGTGAATTGTTCACTTCTCACCTCTTGGGGATCTGTCCCACCTGGGCCAAGAATTTTCTAGAGCCTCTTGCGATGGTCAGCAATGTCCCTGATGTGACCAGGAGTTAGGGATTTCTGCAAAGACAAAGCAGGAAGAGCCTGGCTGCCTTGTTAGGAGGAACAGTAGGAAAAGGAAGGACAAGATGGTAGTCTGTCACACGCATGTCCACGGCTGTGCTGTGCTTGGAGCACTAAGGTTCATGGTAGTTACTAGGGCCACCTAGGACGGTACAGTCCACTTTCTCTTTGAGTCATGAAAAAGTGCCCAGGTGACAAGTTCAGCCTGAGGAGAGCATGTCTAAGAAGAGACCAAGTGGCACTTCCTGTGGCCTCACAAATGGCCATACCCTGTGACAGCAAGCCAGGGCCGCAGACTGGAACCAAGGCACGGTCAGTCACTCAGGGGGAGGGGGAGGCGCAAATCAACCAAGTGAGGAAGGAAAGGGGGAAAAAAGAGGCTGGATGGACATTCCTGGCCCACAGAAACAGAGCAGCTTTCCTTAGTGTGTTAACAGTAGCTGCGAGTCTAGCTTACAGAGGGTGATTTCTCCAACTGCCTGTGAATAAGGGTCATTTTTCCTGAAAAATGCACAAGGGTTCATTTTCAGCTGTTAAAGATGAGCCAGTTTTCTCGCTAAAGCAGGGATCTGGTCAGCCATTAACTCAGTTACCCCGGGGTGAGGGGGAAATAACTGGCCCCAATTCTTTCCTTTTCTAGCATTTGGGAGAATGAAGGATTAGGTAAAATGCGTTATTTCCTCCCATTCTCCACTGTGGGCAGGAGTTCACATATCAGTTAGAAACCATTTTTGAACAGGAAGACCAAGTAAATCCAGAAGGGATTTACTCATGGGGCTCCCTTTTTACTAGAAAATGAGTGTTATTAACTAAAAATCGATGCTTTCCTCTTTCTCCATTCTCCTCCCTTCCTTCCCTCCCCTCATCTCCCGCCCACTGCTGTGGTGGGAAATGACTGTGGTGAGTGACATTTAAATCGTGAGCAAGGTTGGACGCCTCCATGTCCCTTAGATGCCCCCGAGGGTAGATCACAGCACTTCTAAAGGCCGTATCCCCACATGAAATAATTTGAATTTTCTTAGACTGCAGAATGTCTCGCATTCCTGATGACGGATTGGGGAGCATGGTGGGTCTGAGAGTTGCAAAGGCTCCATTAGTTCAGTTGATCGTTCCCGTTTGCAACGTGGTCTTCCACTAAGTATTTGTTTTCTAAAAATCTATTCCCTTCTGGGGATGTTTTTTTTTTCTCTCCCAGCCCTTTTAGAAAACTGATGCGAACAGATTTCCCGTCCATTTTCATAGGAAGTCTTTGTTCCTGTTGGCAGGAGGCCTTTGTCGGGAGGTAGTGGGACACAGGCAGTGGGCCCCTGCATGACTCTGCCCTTCCAGAATGCAGAAGCCTTCCACCTGCGAGTCTGGATCTCTCCCCACCGCTCTGAGATGCTCGCCACTGCCACTGCGATGCCTCTTGCCGCTGCTCAGGTCACAGAGATGGAGCTGGCCAGGTTCCCCGCTGGTGGTCAGTGACAATGGTGCGACCTGGAGGTGACATTAACACCTTCACGGCTACAGAGTTTCCTTAGCAGAGCTGTGGAGTGTGACAATGGTGTTTGTGTCCAAACTATCAAACGCCATTATCACACTAAATAGCTACTGCTAGGCAATCCTTCCGCTCCCTAAATGTCTTGGCATCTGCTTGGTGTGGACAAGAAAGTTCGACTGGTAACAGTGGCCCCAATCAAGTGTGTCCTCACTGAATAAGGTCTGGTCGTCTTGTGCTCGTGACCAACATGTCTATGTGAACCCTGACTCACACGTGCTGTTGTTAACCACTTTGGCTGGCGATGAATTTTCTTGTTTTCTCAAGTCAATAAAAAGTTTGCCAAGGGCCCCAGAGGACCCAGCATAAAGCTAGGCTTACCTATTACCTGGTAATCATTCAACACGTGCCTACGGAGTTGAAATGAACACTTAGGAAGGTGTTAGGTGCAGAAAACTAAAACTGGGTTAAATCTAGTTTATGCAAACCGCACGCTCATAGGCCCAAAATTAAGGTCTGTGGTTCTCCCTCTTAATCATAAAAAACCCAACTTTCTTTGGCATTCAGAGTTTCCCTACAGAGGAAGAAAGAGAAAATAATAAAATTAAAAATTTTTAAAAATAGTAAATAAATTATTTAAAAAAAACAAAAAACTTTCTGATAAACTTATATCAGGCTTCACTGACCTTTCAGAAATTCTAAAACATGTTTGTTTTCTACTGATTTCAATCAATTACCAGGCTGATCACTGAATTTTTGTGCTAAGTTCTTCTTCCTTATGTTTGAATGTATTACCGTCAGAAAATTATTTATGAACTCCGCGTGAGCTGCCATAGCAAATCTGGACGTTTTAAACTCATGCGGCTTCTGAGACAGTTGGCCCAGCTGGGTGGTCTGGTTTGGAACATCCTCTCTTTGAGTCTGTGTCTAAAGTAAGGACTAGGTTCCACTTGTGCTGGGCTGAAGCTTGTCTCCTGAGACTGGGATAAATGAACTAGTGCATGTTTAATCACATCGACGGGGTTGGATCAACCATCAGAAAAAAGTTTATTCAATCATTCCACTATTCCCTTATCAAATAAATATGTATAGAGTGGCTGCCATGTGCCTGGCACTGTCCTAGGCCCTGGGGATACTTTTAAATTAATTGTGTCTGACGTTATTTCCAGAGAGGGGCGCTCACTGGCTCTCCTTCTGTTTGGGGACCATCATAATGTTTCCAATGTCATTTATTTGGGAGGCAAATGAATGAAACTTTGCAAAATAATTCCAAGTCCCTTGCTGGAAAGCACCACCTGAGTGCAGCCCACACATCTATCAGACACTGCAGAAGCTTCAAGGTCATGGCTTCAAGCTTCATAGAAGCTTCTGTTCAAAGAAGAGGAAGTGAATTCCTTCCTGCTCTGCATCTCCTCCCACCTCCCATTTCTTCCCTCCTGGCATCATCTACGGTCAAGAGTACAGACCCCCTGACATCATTAATACACTGACATCCCTTTGAGTGTGTGTCTTGTCTGGGGAAAGCTCCCATTGCACAGGCATTGGTAGAGGGCTCTGCTTGTACAATCCACTCCCATGCACATTGTTTCATTTGATTCCTACGACACAGGGCAAAGATGACAGGTTTGAGTCCCTTTCCACAGCTTGCAAACCGAGACTGGGTGGGCCATCTGGTCATGCAGCCACCGTTCAACACGGGTCCCTTATATCTGAAGTTCTGTCCTATGCCTGTAGCCTTCCTTGGCCTGGTTATTCCACGAAATCTCATGCTTCACGGTTGAGTCTGTGTGGAGCCGGGTTGATCATGCCAGTATTGGATCAATACCCTCGGCTCCCCGCTTGCTCTGTCGATGGACTTTGAGGGGAGAGCTGTCAATCAGAGAGGGATGAGTCACAGAACAATCTCTCCTCGTGAGTGTTCACAGTGCAGAGGAAGCCAACTATTGCAAAACACTGTCATCGTGAACTGAAAAGTAAGAGAAGGAACATCTAAGTGGTAGTTTGGGGGGTCAGGAAGGGGGTGGCCAAACTGTCCAGACGCGGGGCAGCAGCTCAGTGACTGACCTGCAGAAGCAGCACTGAATGATCCCGGCTCAGAACTGTTCCCAGACCCAGGAACGGCGTGAGGACTGGGCCTTACGTCTCCCCTTCATTCCCACTCGCCTTGCAATTTTGCTCAGAACGCAACGGGGAGCAAAGTTAAGGGCAGCCTATGTCCTCTCTACTAGGTTGGCTCATTTCATGGTTGATTGCAATTTCCTCTTGGATGAGTTCTGCATTTGAGATCGGGACCTTTTCTTTCTGTAGACCTCTGAGATGCACACACAGGAGGCAAAACTTCCACATCCCCATTTTAGAGCCACCTCTAATACCCAATCCCACTGCCCCCAATCTCTGTGACAGCATCCTTTCCCGGACCAGCTTTCATCTGCCCCTCCCCTTGGAATGATTACTGCCAGTGTCTCCAACACAGCATTCCTGGGGACACTCAGTGACCCGAGTGCTGTTTGCAAGACAAAAGGGTTCACTTGGACAGGCAGTTAAAACCCCAGGTGACAGGCCACTTGAGCGTAACTTTGCTTTGTGGATCACGCCATTGAGTCCCTGGGAATGCTTTCATCTTAGTCCAGCGTGTACCTTGAACATGAAAGTTACCCCTTAGGGCCTGTCCGATGTTCCATCCAGCCCCAGAGGAGGTTTTGTGAAATGACGTAGCAGTTACCATACATCGATGGCTCACCTACACATGTTTCTGAACTCTTCTGAAACTTTTATTTTCCACTTGTGTACCTCCTTGAATCAGAAGACAAAAGACCTCCAGAACTGGAAACCGGTTCACTGTTTGTCCTGATGAGGAAATTGAAGCCCAGGTGTTCTAGAGTTTTCTAGGCAGGTCCACGTCCGCACCCCTCCCTCACATCACCAGCCAGCCACCGAGCAGCGCGGGCAGTGCGGTCGCCAGGTGCCAGGTGTTGTCCTGGGCGCCGGGATGTGAAATAGAAAGGCCGGGTCCTTTCCCTGGGCTGCTGTCCATCCCGGCGCTGGACAGAGGCCTAAACAACGACATTTATGCCTCGATGTACTAGATTCCGGCACAGAGGCAGACAAGTGTGCCAAGAGACTGTAATTATGCGCCTCGTTTCTAACCAGATGCAGAAACACTGAGTCTCTGAGGTTATGACGTTGCTTGTCGCTCCTGGGAAAATATTCCTGCTTGTTTATTTTTGGTGATTCAATTGCCAACAGGTTATGGAGAAGGGGCATCTCTTTGTTTTGGGTGGCGGTGCTGTCACAGGAAGATCTTGCTGCTTTCCCTGTCCCACTTGGCAGCGTGATGGGCGGCGCAGCATCTGCTGGGGGTTAGGGGGTGGCTGGCGCGCTCTCCAGTGACGCGCGTGAAGCAGTTTAATTTCTCAGAGGAGCTTGCTGACATGTGAGCCGGTTGTTCCTTACAACGCAGGCAGGGTTAATGCTGTTTCTTCCATCGCTGCCTCTGCCCCAGTGACAAAAGGCGTGCTTCACAGCCCCCAGGTGATGCCTCTCTCCCCCTCAGCTTCCCCTCCTTTGGGACAGGCTCAGAGAAGCTGCTGGCTGCAAACCCACTGCTGGAGCCCCCAGAGCCGGTGGAGTGGTAGAGGGGTGAGGGCATCTACCGTCTTCTCTTTGATATCCATGCTTGCTTCCAAGCTTTCTGAAAGAAAAGAAAGAATATGAAAAGCACAGGCAAGCTCACAAAAATGTAGATACCCACCGAAGATTCTGAAGGGCCTGGCCATGAGATAGCTTAATTTAGAAAGCTGAATCACCGTATGCACTGGAAAAAAGATTTATGTGACACAAATTTGTCGTGTACCTAGAGTATTTAAACACTGCCCATAGGATGCAAAGATGAGTCAGACAGATTCTGGCATTCATTCACTCATTCATTCATTCGACCGACAGAAAACCCTGTGTTCCTACGAGGTGCGATGCACTATGCTAGTCACTGAGGGTTCAAAGACAGGATGCTCTCCCCGGAATCTAGTTGTTGCCAGTCTAGTCAGGACACAGACATGTTGGGGCTGGGCCGAGAATAGAAGAAGGATGGATGGATGGATGGATGGATGGATGGATGGATGGATGGATGGATGGATGGATGGATGGATGGATGGATGGAAAGAACGTGACTGGGGTCAATAAAGGCCCAGGTGAAAACGCCTGCCCGAAGCTGCTCATTTGCTGCGTGCAGAGGTCAACTGAAAACAGCTGACCTGTATGGACGTTGTTAAAGAAATTAGCAAACGGCCCTGACCCTTTGCACGTGTCCTTGGAAATAAATACGGGCAGGAACTTAGCTGAGGTGGCCGTTTTCTCCTTCAGAGTCTGGCTTCTCCCCTTCTCTCTAAACACTGTGAGTTTCGAGTAGTTAATCTATTCCTTTGCTACTGAGCCCAGGAGCGAAAAACAGCCGATACAAGTGGTGACCCCAACATGATTCAGGAATCCACACGTCCAGGGAGCGTTTTCGCCATCCAGACTACAAGGGGAACCATCCCGGTAAGGGACAGTCCCACCGCTGCTTTGGGAAAGGAGTTCAGAAGGGGATTTCTAATATGGGGCAGCACCTGACTAAAGATCGGTTAACTTTATCCGCACACTTTGCAACAACTTTTTTTCCTTTATTTTTTTTTATTTTTTATTTTAGCGTATTATGGGGGTACAAGTGTTAAGGTTACATATATTGCCCTTGCCCCCCTCCCCCCTCGAGTCAGAGCCTCAAGTGTGTCCATCCCCCAAACGTCGCACATCTTACTTGTTGTGGTTGTATATACCCATCCCCTCCCCCCCACCCTCCCGACACCTGATAAATGTTACTCCTATATGTCCACTTAGGAGTTGATCCGTTAATACCAATTTGCTGGTGAGTACCTGTGGTGCGACAACTCTGAAAGGCCGCCCAGTGTTGTGTGGAACCAAA